ACTGCAGGACGACAACGCCACGCCATATCGCGCACGCGTCGTGGGGGACTTCCTGCAGCAGCGAGCTGTCACCTGCATGGACTGACCAGCTTGTAGTCCGGATTTGAACCCAACAGCAAACATTTGGGATCACATTGACCGGTGGATAAGGGACAACCACCCTCTTGCACAAAACCGTCAACAACTCTTGGACTACCTCGTCCAGGAGTGCAGAATCTACCCCAACAAGTTCTCCGAAGGCATGTCCTGTCCATGCATCGACGCTGTGCCGAGTTTTTGATCAAACAAAGTGGCTACATCCACTATTGACCATGTTCATGAAGAACTTTGGCTGTTCAAACATTTGAAATCCGACCAGGGTGACTAAAACTCATTTTACATAAACTTCTCGTTGTTGTTGAAATCTGAAATTGTTCAAACTTAATCTAGAGAGTCGAAAGCATCTTTTGTGAAAAAAAATGAATAAATTCGGTTCAACAGTTCTTCTGTAATCTTTCTTTTAATGTTCGTTCCTTGACTTTTTTGTGCGAGTATCTATCTATCTATCTATCTATCTATCTATCTATCTATCTATCTATCTATCTATCTATCTATCTATCTATCTATCTATCTATCTATCTATCTTATCGTCATCGTTGTTATTATTAACTATTATCATTAATTTTTATTATCATTCCCTTTACTTTTCAGGTGGACGAGCATGACTGTCTTTTGTGTATCAAATACACACTCCGAGTAATGGTGAGACAGCTTTGTGTTTGATCCAAAAAGCATAGAAATAAATCATAATACTAGATTCTAGTTATTTCTTCACTGTGAAAATACAATATATTGATAAATCTAATTTATTTTATTTCTTGTGGGAAATGGCTACTGTAACGACGTTTTTTAAAATAAATGAGCTAATAATGTTTCAGTTTCGTGATAGATTGTTAGATAGATAGATAGATAGATAGATAGATAGATAGATAGATAGATAGATAGATAGGCTATCTGCTCTCTGACTTTCCCCAGCACGCTCGAGAGGAACTGATAGAAGACAACAGTGGCCTGCTGACAGTGGCATCTTGTTTGTTGAGTAACTTCTCCAAGTCACGAGTCACGGCGCTGGAGGTGAGTACATGTCGCTTTGTCTTTCCCACTGTTGGTCTGTTTGTTGGACTAAAATATGCATATACTCTTTCTCTCTCTCTCTCTCTCTCTCTCTC